GCGCCCGCTTCACTCACGCAACTCGTCCGCGATGTGCAAGAAACGCTGCATACTATGCTTGCCAACACCACGGATGGAAATGGCTCGTACATCGCCCAAGTGGCGTTCGCGAATCTCGCCATCGTGCACGGTATCACACCCGTTCCTAGCGGACTGGACCGCACGCGCATCAACGGAGCCGGCAGCAACCTCTTCTGCAACGCGCTGGCGTCGTCGCTCAACCTGACGAACGGTGTCTCGTCCTATTTTGGCGCCGAGGTGCCGTGCAACACCAACATTGGCGAGTGGGTCTACTTCTCGCCCGAGCAAGTGCTTCTGGCGCTCTTGGCGTCCGGCGTGAATTCGGACACAGTGTCTTTGGTGCCGCGCGTGTGCAGCGTCGAAACGGCGTCGCCCGCGCAGTGTCGCACGTCGCTCTTGAGCGCCTCGGCGTTTCTCAACGCTTACGTTCCGCCGGAGTGGGTCTTCGCAATTCGGACCCAAGCAACAAATGTTCAAAGTGACATTACGGCACTGCAGGTCGAGCTCGCGACCTACGCGCAAGACGCCGTGACGAGGCAGTTGTCCCTCTTCCACCAGCCGATTCTAGATCCCAACGATGTATCAATGCTCTTTGTGGGCTGGACGAACGCGTACGACTGGGCCGTGGGTACGCGCGAAGTCGTCGCTTTCGAAGGCGATGTGCGTGCGATTTCCGTCATCTCGGCGGCGTTCAAGCCCACGAGCTTTGTTGCAAATGCGGCCGAAGTGCCCGTGAACGTCGTGGCCTATCTCCGGGTGTTCTGCCAGTATATCTCGCTGCTCATGCTCATGGTCGCGTGCACCGTGCTTCTCTATACCGTCCTCAACGGCTTCACGACCGAGGGTGTCAACCTCTTGAAGATCAACCGCGTCGGTGGCATCGTCTGGGTCGGTCGGCAGCTTCTCTTCCTTCGGAGTGCCACGGCGCTCTGCATTCTTAGCACCGCAACGCTGCAGCTCCACACGTTTGGTAGCGCCACATTTCCGATCGCAGACCGCTTGGACGTCTCGGGAAGCGTCGACGTTGTCTCCAAGATCTTGGCGGCCGGGGAGCTCGGCTGGCTAGGCTACATCTTTGATGACATTTGCATGGTGTTTACGCAGCAGTACGCCGGGGCCTACGCGAGCAAGTCGTCGCTGGTTGTCTGGATGCTTGCAGCGATTCTCAGCCTCGCGCAGCCCGTCGCGCATCACATCTCCCTTCATATCGAATGCGAGGTGGTCGCATTCGACTACCAAGTCGCGTGCGTCAGCGGCTCTCTGACCATTGGCAGCATCTCGCGGCTGTTGCTGCTGGTGGGTATTTCGGTGAGCATCTCGTTGTCGTTCTTTGCCTACCATCGTCTGCGCTACACGCTGCCACCGCTCGACGAGCGCACCTCGTACATGCTGCCGTGTGGCGCCAAGTACCTCTTTCGTCGCCGCGGCTGGGTCGTGCACCGCGTCTATTACATGGACTATGCGTCGGCGGCCTTGGCCGGCCTCCTCGTGCTGCCACTGCGGCACAGAGTTTACGTGTTTGATGTCAAAGCGTGGCGCATTCGGAGCTTTGACACGACGCACATTCACGACGAGACCAAATTCCATCCCGCGGCTCGCCGACTTGCGGTGGCGCTGCCTCTACTCGACTAGCAATTCGAGCCAAATCTTTCGCTATCGAGTACGATGATAGAGTATGTCTACTGTACTATCATATGCACAAGCGCTGTACGAGATAGTAGCGCGCTCTAGGTTGCGATCGTGCCCGATGTGGTGGCTTTCAGGGCAACCCAAGCACCGCAGCGAGAGGAGTCATCGCCCAGGAAGCAGACACTTGAGTTATTACGTGCGACGCTTTAGAAGTGACTAGGCTGTCTAGACAGTGAATCTGGAAGAAGTGGTACTGCCCATGAGTCCTTTGGCTGCGAGACGACTGTATCTGATACTCGATCTGATACTTCTTCACCTTATCCACCCCTGCCGTATCTTATCTGGACGACGCACGTAGACTGCGTAGACAAAGCTCAAGCTTCCAGGAGTCATGACGCTCATGCGTATTGGCGGACACGGCTTCAATACATCTAGGTCTCGTATCGAGAGGCGTCGTCGACGGCTCAAGACGTCGAATGCTGTCGACACGCAAGTAGCGGTACGGCTCGTGCTCAAAAGCAAAAATATATACGCAGTCCACCCTGTCGAGCCACTGCAAGTCGGCTTAAATTTTGACCGTGCAAAGCATCACTTTGTAGCCAATACTTGGGTTGGATGACGTCGGGTACGATGAGCTCAGCAGCGGAGGCTACGGCAGCAGGCACCCCATAAGGTCCGAATGGCGCGTCAAGTGAATCTTCCGTTCCTGTTCAACTGGACTTGTATCGCGATCATCCTACTCGACGCAAGCAAGTGCGCGCACGAGGTGGACTTGGCCCGCGACTCTCTCGTCAATGGGCGCGTCGTTATTCAGCACGAGAAGGCGCCACGTTTTGATGTCAAACACGTAGATATGGCGCCTGTACGGGAATACGAGTAGCCCCGTGAGCGCCGCCGACGCAAAGTCCACGTAGCGCACGCCGCCAGCAACCCACCCGTCAGTTGCAAAGAGATACTCGGCGCCGCAAGACAGCATGTACGACGGCCGAGAGGTGGGCGGCGACATCGAATACCGGACGCGATCATGGAGGTAGAGAAGAAACGGCGCAAGCAGCGCAATTAGCGCCAAGCTTAGCAGCCGCGACTGGCTGCCAATGGTCACGACGCCGCTGGCACACGTGAGCTGCAAGTCGGTCGCGACCACGCGACAGCGACGTTCAATGGAGGCGCGGTGCATGACGGGACTCAGGGTACTTAGAAGCGCGGCGAGGGCCCACACGGCGACAGCCGCCTTGCCTGCGTACGACGTTGTGTACTCTTTTGTAAATACCATGCACATGTCACAAGCAATGTACGCAAGCCAGCAGCCTTCGCCGGCCACGAGCACCTTGGTGACGATCGTGAGGGGCGTGACTTTGGGTGTCACGAACCGAGTGACGTCGCCAACGCGCTGCAGCGAGAGGTCGGCGCTGCTCAAAATGCAGAGCGCGGTAACACTTCGCAGAAAGAGGAGCGGCCGACCGACCCAGACCATGCCGCCGACGCGGTTGACCTTCCAGAGGTTGCGCCCGTCGCTTGTAAAGCCGTTGAGGACCGTGTAGACGACCGCGAGGAGCGCCAGTAGGAGGAGCACGAGCGATATGTACTGGCACAGCGCTCGGAAGTACACGGCAACGTTGGAAGGTAGCTCGTATGGGCTGGCCGCGGCCGTGGACATGGGCGTGGTCGCCGAGAGGACAGTGACGGACGCAGTGTCACCATCAAATACGACGACTTCACGAACACCAATCGCCCAGTCGTATGCAAACGTCCACATGGTGAAATGCATCGTCGGGTCCTCTGGCGCAAAGAGGCGTTGATGAAAGAGCTTGGCGCCGCGACCGTCCTCGGTGATCTGGGCGATCGCGACCTCCAGCGCGGCGATGTCACGTGTCACGGGGACGGCGTGCGCTTCCCACGAGCGCAGTGCCGCACTGGTAAAGTATGTACTCACAAACTCGCTGATGCTTCGAAGCGAGGTGTGGCACCCGACCGGATCCACCGCTTCCGAGAGACAGGCCGTGGTGGCGGCCGACGGCATGTGCAGCGCAAGGCCCGACGCGATCGCAGCGAAAAGAACCTGCGGCTTGAAGACGTAATTCCACTCGTTGTAGCCGGTCGTGCACGCAGCGTCAGCCGTAAAGAAGCTGCCCATGCCATATGAAAAGTTCATGGCCCGGGGCACCGCACCGCAGAGAAGACTGCCACCGAGGCATGCGACCTGAGAAGGGTCCAAGGCGAGTGGTCGTGGCACGAGCACACCGAGGATGCTCATGTGGTTGTACGCTGCCTGCGCCGCGTCGCGGTCCGTCCCAGCAACCAATACTACACTGAGGGCTTCGAGAATTGGTTGTTGTAGCTGCAAAAGGGAGACTGGTGGCGAGACGTAGCGCAGATCCACGGACCCAAACGGCCCCAGAAATATCTCGAATGCTTGAAGCGCCGCATCGCGTGGGGATGAGAGTGTGTTGTTGATGACGTAGATGACCTTCGGCGTCGTGTTGGCAAACGCAAAGTTAGAGCTCGATCGGAGCAGCGATCGACCGTGGATACCCGAGCCGTTGGTGGCCACCGCCCAGAGATCACTTGCAAAGCTCCAGTACATCTTCATCGAGGTTTGCATCTTGATATGAAAGAGGCCTGTTGTCGCCTTGAGCGTGAGCGCGTACGTCAGTCCAAAGGCATTTTCGATCGCGAAGGTGTCAACGAGCCCGATCGTTTTGTAGTTTTGCCACTGCACTGTGTACGTCAAGAGGCCTTTCGACTGCCAGTAGGCACCTTCGTCCAGCTCCGAGCGGCCATTAGACTCTAGCGTCTCTAGCCAGTTACGTCCCGATACATCGCGTTTGAGGTGCTCGCCAAATCCAATGTCGAACGACGTGCCCCAGCAAACCTCAAAGTCTTGCCAGTTGGCATTTCTCAGTGGCGCCTCGAGGTAGACGGCGGCGTTTGCTGTATAGGACTTCTCGCAGCGCGCTTGTCGCTTGATGGAGTTGGCCATGGCCCAGCGACGATCCAGGTCGAGCCAACAGTACTGCGTGGCGATCCAAGGCATCAGACATGGGTCGGTTTGCCGAAGTCCATGAATCGCCAGTGCCAAATCACTTGTGACTTCGAAATGCACCTTCTTGGCGTAGAGCGTCGAGTAGGCAATGACGGCAGATGCGTCACCATAGTTGATCGTGTCGCCATACGCGTCATTGGCAAGCGATGCGTTGAGCAGCGTCGGGTTCAGGTAGAGGTACCGATTGAACCAGTTGGCCACATACGTGTGCGCGCCAGTGGTGTTGAAGGTCGCCCAGTAAAAGTCGTTGGCCAAGCTCACGGTCGAGAGTTGTAGGTACGAGAGACTGCTGCCCACCGTCGCCACGAGGTACGTGAGCCCAAAACCGAGCGTCACACGCCGCTTGTACCGGTGCAGGCGACTGCTTGGGATCTCAATTAGCAAATCTTGGAGCACCACTTCGCGCGGACCTATCTCCTTTTCAAAGACGCGCCATAGCTTGACGTCAAAGAACCAGTGCGGCCGGAGTCGCAGCGACCCACTGAGCAATGCGACCACGCGGTGCATGGCCCATGCATCGACGGGCGCGTCGGTGAAGGCCACAAGACTCGCAGGGATAATGTACGACGTTATCGGGGGTGGCCGAGGCGGGCGGCGTCGAAAAGTTAGACGTACAAGCCCATACGCGACAAGCAGCGACGCGACTTGGCAAAGACAAATGCAAAGCACACGCGTGACCGACCCAATGCGAACCGTACCGATCGAGCATGTGAGTAGCACATTGACGTTTGTCCGGGTGCAGGTCTGCGCGACCGACACCTCGGGCGTCACGGCTTGTGTCATCTCGAGGGCAGCGACTGCGATCCAGCTGAGGACACTACCGAGCGGCGCGTAATACTTTGTGTAGGGCTCCGTCACGATGACGAGAAGGTCCGTGATGACGTACGTCAGCCACACGGCTTCGCCCGCAATCAGTAGTGTCGCCGGGAGAGAACGGGGCGCGGCATAAAATGTACCGCGGCCGACCGAGGCGTCAAAAGCGATGGGCGCCGTGCTCAGCACCATGATACCCGTGATGCTACGGACGAGGAGGAGCGGCCGCCCAATCCACACCGGCGCAGCAATGCGATTGAAGCGCAGAATCGCCTTGTTTCGCCAGTGCCGCGCGCCCAGCAAGAGCAGTACCAGTGCGAGACCCGCTAAACCAATGGTGGTGATGACTGCAAGCAGCCAAAAGTAGCGGCTCGTGCTGTGGGGAATCTCGTTGGCGCTCAAGGCCAGCGGCAAGGGCGTCAGCGGCTCCGACATGAGCACAAACGTCGTGACGTCACCATGAAACGAGACGACTTCGCGGTGCCCGATCGCCCACTCGTAGAGCATGATGTAGCCAAAGAAGGCATAGTCCTCTCCGAGCAGCGGTTGCCGATAGACGGTATTGTCGCTATGGTTGACAAGAGCAAACTGGATCAACTCGACGCCGAGATTCGCAATCTCACTCTGGACGAGCGACATGCCATCGGGCGATGACACATTGGCATCGTCCAAGAGATGCGCCAGCTGCGATACAAGCTCCCGGCATGCAGGTGCTAGCGTGCGACAGGCATTGCAGGCCACGCGCGATGTGCCTGCCACCGCCGTCGCAAACGCCGCGGCCATCGGTGTCACCAGCACGGACGCCGGTGTCATCGTCGTGCACGTCGCGTCAAATGCAAATGACGGTTGAACAAAGGTGGCACCGGGCATGAGGGCGCAGAATGGATTCCCGCCAAAGTAGATTGCATCGCTGTGGTCCTGCCACGTCATTGGGATCGGGTCGAGCACTTCAGGTACGAGCTGTGCAAACGCCACGGCATCGATGAGGGTCGATACGCTTGCTTCCAGTATACTGACAGCGCTCAGTAGTGAGGCTGGCGGCGGAAGAAGGTACATGTCGGTCGAGACAAAGGGCCCGAGAGCCGCGCGGATGCAAATACTGGCGCGTGTGAACGGATAGAGCGCCGCGAGCGCCTCCATGCTCGTCTCGTTGTCGCCCATGAAGTTCGCCGCGCTTCGTACCAAGCTGCCGTTGACCACCGAGGCGGCCCAGAGATCGTCAAAGAAGCCCCACTGCTGGTAGAACGAGGTCCACAACGAACCTAATGTATCGCACTCGAGTCATCGTGGCCGATCAAATGTCGGGATACCTCGATGGGAAAATGGCAAGTTGTACGTCGTGAGCACCTGCACGGTCCCAAGGGCGTTGACGAGCGAGATGGTTTCGTGCAAGCCAAACTGCACGTCGTTGCTCCACTGCAGCTGGTAGCGCTGGATGCCTTGCGAGCGCCAGTAGTGGGCTTCCGTCGCGACCGACTCGAACGCGTTCTGCACATTTTGCAGCCACGCGACACCGTCGTTGGAGCGTTCGAGCTCGTCAGCAACCGCCAGTTGGAAGCTTGTCGCGTACACAGCGATCCATTGGGCCCACTCGACATTGCGCAATAGGGTCTCGAGGTACACGGCGCCATTGCCCGCCAACGCCGCGCGATGGCACCGGGCTTGGCGCGCGGACGTGTGCGCAAGCTCCCAGCGCCGAGGAAGGTCGACAAAGCAGTACTGCGACATGAGATTCAAGCTGTAGGCGGCGTCGAGTGCCCGAAAGCCCAGAATCGCATCTTCGATCGACGTCAGCTGGGCAAGTGCAATCGCACGCGGCGTCGTCGAGAGCATCTCACTCACAGCACACGGCGCGTTGTACGTCTTGAGCATGGGCACCGCGTACAAGTCGAAGGTCGAGGCGCGGCGCAGGCGGTGAAACAAGTCGACGAGCAAGAGCTGGCCGCCGACCGGCACAAAGTCGGGCCAGAAGAGGTCGTTGGTCAAACTCTCAGCGACAAGCACCAAGTACGCGACACTGCAGCCGATCGTAAAGGCCAGGTACCCGCCGCCGACCCACCAGTGCATAGCAATGTGAAACGAATATCACCAAGCGACGTCGTTATCGCGGTCGGTTAGTGCTCTAAGATCTACTAGGAATCGGGCTCGTCCCATACGCTACCATCAGACTCGAAAGGCAGCCTCTACGACATCTCACGTGCCCGTTCTACCACCCGACAGCAACTTCATGGTCCTCGCTGTGACTCTATACTACCTCGTCCCGTACCAAGGAGGTTCAAAATGGAGCGGGAGCCATTATATACAGCAATATCTCTTAACGTCGATCGGACCGGTCGCGCGACCGCGACTTGTGGCGGCTCTCGCGGGACCGGCTGCGACGGGACCGACCACGCTCTTCGCTGCGCTTGCGGTCTTCGCGCCGATCACTGCGGTCGCGGCTGCGATGGCGGCGGTCGTCGTCTCGGCGGCGACTCTCGGTTTTCCGGTCGTCCCGACGGACTTCCGCCTTCTTGAGCTCGTCCCGCCGGTGGCTGCGCTTGTGGTCGTCCCGGCGGCGCTCTGGTTCGTCCACAAAGTCGTACTTGGCGGGACGCTTGGCTGCCTCGTCTTCGGGGGTAGGGTCGATCTCCTTGGACTGCTTTTCGTTGCGGCGAAATTTGTTCCAGAGCTTGGAGACCGACTGGGAAAAGTCGACTTTGACACGCCGGTCGTCAATAAGCACGTTGTTCATCTTGAAGCACGCTTCGATACAGTGCTCCTTGTCGGTGAACTCGACGAAACCAAAGCAGAGACTGTCGCCGGTCTTGTAGTCGAGGATGATGTGGGCCGTGCACGGACCAAAGCGCGAAAAAATGAGCTCGAGGTCCTCGGCCGTCGTCACAGGGTTGAGCTTGCACAAGAAGAGGACTTCCTCGGGCGGCTTGACGTCTGCGTCCGGCAAGTCGCCAATGATCTCGAGAAACACACTGCGCGACTTGGCTTCGCGGTCCCGCTGCATGATCGCAACCTCTTCTTCCGTCTTGCCCTCGTACTCGTCGAGCTTGTCCAAGACACTCAGCCGGACTTCGACCGACTCGGTTGGCGGGCGCTCGTGCGTCGGCGACGACGGCGGCTCGACGAGGCCCGGCGGATCCGGGAACGGGTCGTCGAGTACAAATGTATGCAAGATACGGCAGTCCTGGTATGGCCGGCCGTGGCTATCGGCGTAGAGCTCGCTGATCGACTGGAGGATTTCGAGGCCCTCGACAACGTGGCCAAAGAGCGTGTTGCCCGCGAATTGTGTCAGATCGTCGTCGCGCATCGTGACGAAGAACTGGCTCGTGTTCGAGTCCGGGCCCGTGTTGGCCATGCAGAGGCAGCCTTTGGACAGCACCTGCTTCTTAAGGCCTAGCTCGTCCGGAAAGGCGCGCGGCTGGCGCGGTTCGAGCACGTGGAAGACCGAGTCGCCGCCCGAGCCCGTGCCCGTCGGGTCGCCCGTCTGCACGAGCAGGTTCTCTTGCACGTTGAAGAAGAGCACATTGTTGTAGTACTTGAGCTTGCAGAGCTTGAGGAAGTTGAGGCACGTACGTGGCGCCTCCTTGACGCGCAAATCGACGACGACCTCGCCCAGCGATGTCTGCAGGAGGACCGACATGGCTTCGTGACCGTCCACGTAACTGCGATTGGACGAGACAATTCGTACCAGCTAAAAGCACGCAACTAGGAATTGGCGTTTTAATTCGTACTGGAGCCAGAATTAGAATGTACTGAGTCAAATATGTTATGAGGCGTGTGCTGCATTGGTCAAGTGGCGCAGCTGTGGTCGTATAGGCGGCGATCGCGGAGGTCGGAAGAAGTACCCGAGAGCGCACAAGCCGGCCGGCGACAAGGCTGCCAGTCGCGGATGCAATTGGTATTCGTTGGACGTCGCTAGGGCCAGTGGTAGGGCTACCTGCCAGCGTTCACCACAAGCAATGGCTGCTGGCAGCAACGTTCGCTGGGCCAGCATCTGCCACGAGACTTCGACTTCAATCGTGCCGCGGGCGGTCTCAAAGTAGTGGCGAGCGTCCCATGATGTGGGACCGAGGCGACCGTACACGTACTTGCTCGGCACGAGGCTGTCGATTCCGTTGACATCGACGAGGCGGGCGAGCCTCTCGTACCGTCGATCGCTCGGCACAGCGACAACAGCTGCCTCCATGAGCTCGAGCTTTGTGGCAATGGCTTCGTACGTCTCCATGCCACTGTGTTTTCGAGCACCTCGGCGCGACAGGTCGGGCGTGGGCGGATGCTGCTGGCGCGTCGCGGGTCGGCAGCCGCGCTTCCGCCAGCGGTTCCATGCAGTCCATCCAAAGGCAACGATCCCCGCGGTCGCGGTCCAGTACGATCGATGCATGCAGCTGGCCTCGTCAACCGCTTGGTCTTGGGTCTCACGTCCTTTCTTCCGGTGATCGCAAATTCGAACTGCCACACCGTTTCACCGTATCAACTCACTTTCAATATACCATACAAAAACGCATATACTATTCACCTCGTTTGAACGACATGCTCAACTCGGTAGTCATTCAAGAAATGACACATCGATCTCAAGGTGACCCATGGATCTATCCATGATCGATCCGCCGGATACCTCGTGGCAGTGTAGGGAAAAGATAGACGCAGATTCGCTAGACTTTTCGCACGGGCGAGACCACGCGGCGACCGTCGAGACGCTGACGCGCGACGGTGTCGGCGGCCCGGTCGACGTTGCGCAAATGCAGCGCTTGCTCTAGTAGCGCTTGAGCCGAGATGGGCGGCTCGCTCTGCAGAACCGTGAGGCACGAGCCAAAGTCGGCTTCGCGGTGCAAAAGCACCGACCGATGCGAGATGATCATGGCCACGCAGACATAATGCAGGAATGCAAAGCGCTTCTTGTCGGCGAGGAGTGCGTCCCATATCCGCAGCGTCTCGTCGATTGCAAACTCGCGCGAGAAGAGCGTGATGTACCAGCGAAAGCTGTAATACTCGGGCGTCAGCGCCACCGAGTTCTACATCCCGTGAGCCCTAGCCAAAATGTTCGACGGCTGTACGTACGAGGTGCTGCCACAAGCGAGCGTCGTGCTGCCGCAGCAGCATGTTCAGGCGTGTCATTTGCACCTGGATACCCGTCTTGGTCGGCACCGACTTGGACGGCAAGTGCAGTGGCGCCAGCGCTTGCATGAGCGTCTCAAAGACAGCAAAGGCATCGGCCTCGCCGTGCGCCTGCCACTCGATCGAGGCGTCGCCGTTGAAGACATAGATGATGGGCGCAAGCACCTCGTGCATGCCTTGCATGTACCCGACCTCGGGGTGCGCGACAGCAAACACGTAGAGAATTCGCAGCATCCAGTCGATGCCACGAGCCGACAGCTGCACATGCGTTCGCGCCACGTCCTACGAGCGCACGAGAGGTAAGCGAGGCGCCATCTTGGTGCATGTACTTTTTGAATGTCCTTGAAGAGCGCGTGGTCGGGCGGCGGCGGAAGAAACTGCTCGTGCAGGCCTTCGTACGCTTGTCGCTTGCCCGCCACGTCGGTCGCCCACTGCGCAGGGCGGTTCCCGAGTAGGCCAAGGAGCACGCGCCACGCGACTGGCCGCAAGCTTGGGTCGGTGTCGAGGCCCTGGAACACGAGCTCTTGGAGGCGCTCAATGCTAAAGACGCTGGTCGTGTCAAGGAGCGCCCGGGCGCTGGCCTTGGTCAGAGCGTGCGCGGGCGGCTCGTCGGCGGGTGGCGGCAGGAGGCGTGACGGGTCGGTGCCCCCTAATGACGCATGCAGCATTGGCAGAAATCGATCTTTCAGAGGTTGCAGTTTTGCAGGTTCATTCATTATTCAAATCAATTTGAGAGGTTTTGAGAAGTCACCGTCGTAAAAAGAGGCATTGGATAGCGCATCAGCAGGCCAAAATGAGGCGTAGGGCACTCCTATATCTATTCGACGCAGTGTGCAGAACTCACAGCACGAGCGCAGAGCCCGCGTTGGCTCGTCGCGACCACGGCGAGTATCCTTTTTCAAAGGTTTTGGACAATCATTCCTGTCCGGATAGAGCGGCACAGGTGGAAGGAACAAGAGTTGGGAGAGCTTGAAGCTTCATGCCAAACCAAACTCGGAGTCGATAGCCGCAGCCTTGAATGGACTCTTTCTTCGTCATGATAGTTCTGTTTGAGGTATCGTGGCGAGAATACAATCGATACAAGGCTGAAGCTGAAGCAAGTATCAATTATCAGAGGTAGCACCCAAGAATGCAGGTCATCCTGGCACCAAGCTGGGAGCACTTTCGATTTGCGGCGCCATGGACAACAGTGCGATAGCCGTCGTGCTGCGGACGCCGGACCTCGTCATTCACATTGGTCGCTACCAGAATGGGACGCCAGCCGCGCTCCTTGTCGCTCTCCGCGCCTGGAACCGGTCGCGTCACATGGACCACGTGACCTTTCTGCGCCACTTGGCGCTGGACGAGCCCGGTCTGCCGCTCTTGCGGCTCCTGTGGCGCCACGACCCGAGCGTCTTTACGCCGCAGCTCATGGACGCGGCGGCGCGCATCGGCGCATTAGCCGCCGTCCGCTTCTTCCACGACCAAGGCATTGCGTGCACGGTGGAAGCCATGGACCAGGCCGCATGCTGGGGGCACATGGACGTCCTCCGCTTCCTCCACGACCACCGGCGCGAGGGCTGCACGACCGGCGCAATGGACTGGGCCTGTGCGTGGGGTCGCCTTGATGTGCTCGAGTTCCTCCAGCAAGAGCGAACCGAAGGCTGCACCACCCGAGCGATGGATTGGGCGGCCGGCAAAGGGCACATGGCCGTCGTCCAGTACCTCCATACCCATCGGTCCGAAGGGTGCACGTACCGCGCAATGAACGCCGCGGCCGGCAATGGCCACATGGACATTGTTCGTTTCCTGCATGAGCACCGAACCGAGGGCTGCACCGGCGACGCCATCGACCGCGCCGCGACGGCGGGCCACGAGATGATTGTGCGCTTCCTCTGCGAACACCGCACCGAAGGCTTCACGCGCTTTGCCATCCCGCAGGCCGACGCCGGGGGGTTCCACGCCATTGCCGACTACCTGCGCGCGCGGGCCTGAGATCATATTTGTCGCAAGAATGACATAAGTAAGAAGAACTAGAATAAGCGCTTAGGCCGAACTCGAAGCAAAAAAGTCGTGCTCGACAATGTACCGGAACGCCTGGAGCATGAGCCGTTGCTCCTTCTCCACGTCCTTCTCGAGGAGCTTGCTCAAGAGCGAGCTCTTGTGCTCCTTGACCTGCGCCGCCGCCGTCTTGGGCGCCTTGGCCACAGGCTTGGGCTTGGCGCCGCCCTCGGCATGCATAAACTTGCACTCGTCGCCGCGCCGGCAAAAGCCCTTGGTAGAAAACGTCTTGCAGCTCACGCCCTAGTCACGCTGTCGAGTGCCCCATTTCGTACGGCGAATAGTGTGTACACTAATGTCGTGGTTGAACGCGCACTTGTCACCCAGGTCGCACACGTTGCGGATGTACTTGACGCAAAACTTGGAGCTCTTCTTCGTACCATTGGGCGAGTCCTAGTCAAATACGAGTATGTGGCGGCGGTTCCGCCCTCCTTGCGCACCGTGTTCTTTGGTTTTTCCATTGCGGACTTGGCGCGCTTGGCCGCGGGTGCGACGACATCCCCGGCTTGGACACGTTCCTCGTTGTCTTCCAGCTAATGCGAGCATGCAGTCGATTCCAGAAAGGGTCGAGGGCGCGTCGTACCTTGCGCTTGACGACAGCGTCCGACGGCCACTTCTTTCGCCGCTCTTCGCGCCACTTGGCGATTTCTTCGGGCGAGTTGCCAACGAGCACGTTGAACTTTTGGCCCTCGACCTCAATCTCCTTCAAGCCCGAGCCTGCAAACTGACCGTGGCTTGTCTGGTAATGAGCTGTCACGACGCGCTTGCACGCACTAAAGTCGCAGTCGGGCGCCCAGCAGCTCTCGTGCGTGTTCATGTGCGCTTCGTGCTGGGATGCGAGCGCAAAATGCTTCTCGCAGGGCTCACAATGGAACGGCATGTCGCCTGGCGCCCTACGCAACCCATCGAATGCGTCGCGACAAGGGGGTAATTACGTACGTGGGCAGCGCAGGCTTGGCCGTCCGCGGCGCCGCGTTCGAAGGTCCCGATTTCTTCATACAGTCGTGTATCCAGTGACCGCCCATGTTGCACTTGCGGCATACGTAGCTCATCGGAGGAATCGACGGGCCTGGCCCCGGCGGCGCATACCCCGGGGGGTACATCCCATTCGCGGCCGGAAGTGGCGGATACATGCCAGGAGGGCCGTGCGCGTGGTGGTGCGGAGGCATCTGGTGGTGGTACATCATCGGCGCGTTGGGTGGCGGCGGGTGAGGCCCCCGCGGCGGGCCATGCATGTGGTACGTCGGGTCAAAGTGCGGCGGTGGCTGCATGCGCGGGGGGGCGTGGTGCGCCATGTGAGGGGGAGGGTAATACGGACCCGGCGCAGCACCCGCTCGGTGGTGCGGAGGGGGTGCATGGCCACCGACGTGGTGATTATGCGGCCCCGCGTGATGGTGCGGCGGCGCGTTCGCGTAGTGGGGCGGCATGTGCATGTGATGGCGAGGCGGCTGCGCACCTGGATACTGCGGCGGTGGCGCGACGTTGTTGGACGCATACGCTGGTGGTTGTGCGGGCTTTGTATATTGCGGTCGCGGCGCTTGGCTCCCGCTGGCTTGTCGCGGCGGCGGTGGCTGGTTGAGTCCCGTGTAACCACTGCCGTAACCAGATGCGTCCCGAGGGTTGTCCCGCAAATCGGGCTGACCGTATCCTTCGTCACGTCGGCCATAGCCCGCGTCGCGCCCACCGTAACCAGCGTCGCGCGAGCCTGTCGGAGCTCCGTACCCGGCATCCCGCTGGGCGTTGGGGCCGCCATAGCCTGCGTCCCGGCCGCCGTGGCCCGCATCTCGAGGCGCCGGAGCGCCATAGCCAGCATCCCGAGGGCTAGGACCACCGTAGCCAGCGTCACGGGCGCTGGGACCGCCGTAGCCTGCGTCGCGCGAGTTCATCGTTGGCGTCGGATCCAAAATGCTTGCAGGGTTTCCTTGCCTGCCACTTTGCACCAATCAAATCCGAAAACACTCCGCTCCAACTACTTCTTTTATCTGTCTCAACTGGATGGTAATTATCGATTTCGTCTCATTCAATGGCATGCCGGCCTCTTAATCGTCCATCTACGAGCTCTCTTACGCCGCCAGAGTAATCATAGTTCTTGGCGCATTACATTGCAGGTGAAAGCACCGCAAGCTCCTTCATCTACCACGTCGAAATGAGTAGGGAGACCGATACAGTCGATGACACCGCGTGGCCCGACCACGGCAGCCGGAGCTGCGAATTGAGACGGTATTGGTGCAAGGACGTGGACCGCTGTTTGGCGTATTTTTATGTTTTCAATACATGTATATCGATGTTTGTATGTAGCGTTGTCGTTTTGTAATGTATTACAAACAGCGTTTGGCGTGGAATTCCAGAACAGTGTTCTTTAGACGCCCCACGCATTCTTGAGGAGCTGCTCGAACATGCTGTCGTCGTCGACGGCGCGCGATACGTCCTTGTACACGTCGAGGAACTCGTTGCGGGTGATGACGCCGCGCGCGTCCTACGCGATCTCCTTAGTCGCCAGCCGCAGCAGTTGACTACCGTGGTCGTCCAAAGGGCCATAAAGTCCACTGCCCGGGTGCTGCGGAACGCCGACTCGCAGCCCGCGTCGTAGGCTTTCGCCAGCGCGGAAAGCGTCACGGCGCCGCCGAGACCGCTGGAGACTGCATCGTACGTCTGGTTGATCATGCCTTTGCGAGCGTCCGAGAGCGGTCCGCGCACGAGCTCGATGAAGCGGGTCACCTTGACAAAGCCCTTCTTGCCCTATGCAAGATGAACGGGTGCAACTGAGAGCAACAATCGTACGTCATCCAAAGCGTTGAGGAGCGTGTCGTATTGGTCGTCGCGAAGACCTACGCTGGCTTCGGCCTCGCAGGCCTTGATCGCCCATTTGAGGTCCTCGCGGTCCATGAGTCCCGAGCCACCACTGGCATCGACAATCTGCAGCGACTGCACGAGCTGGCGCAAGCCAAACACATGCTGCGTTGTCAGCGCCTGCACGAGGAGGTACGCAACCGAAGCTGGCGTCGACGGTGCGGGGAGACGGCGGGTGTCCGCGGCGGCCTGCGGGGACGTCGCCAAGACGAAACGCCACGCATTCTGCGAGAGCGCACTGCGCGCATGCATGTCTGGCGTCCGCGCGCCCGCTGCTTCGTGCGCAAGGTTGAAGCACTTGCCGTGACCTTTCACGGTGAGGCAGCACACCTCGGTTTCCGAGCCAAAGTCGGTCGCGACGCTGTTCTTGGCGTCGGCAAAGAGGAGGTGTCCGGTCATCTTGTGCATTATGCCAATGCCATCGGCGGTGCTCACGGGCATCGACGTCGCGAGCAGCTTCTCCGCACCGCCAACGTCGGCCCGTGTCGCGACCCAGAGCGTTGACGTGTCGGGTGTCACGGACAGCGTGACGTTCTGGTTGGACGAGACGGGGCTCATGCTGCGCTCGGTTTTGAGATTGGATTTGAGAAAGAGCATGGGCAAGAGCGAGTCGCGGTCAACGCGCAGCGCTTCGTTGGCCATGAGCCGGAACGGGTCGCCATACCGGACAATGCCACTCTGCCCTGTCGGCGAGACGATGCAAAACGTGGTGCGCGCCGAGGCGGCGCTCGGCGGTCGCCCGACGCTCACGACAAACTCACCGGAGCCGGTGAACGTCTCCTCCCACACGTCGCAGGCCAGGACGCCGCCGGTCTGGAGATGCTCGAGCGTCAAATACATGTTGAAGCGCAAGATGCCGTCGTCCGCAAACGAGTGGGGCACGCGGCCGTTCGCTTGCTCCATCTTTTGGCGGTGGGCGGTGCCCAGCCCGCCTTTTTGCTTCTGGACGCGGTAGTCCTTCATGCGCGCTTCCTCGAGCATGAGGTCTTCATTCCAGTTGCCAATGCGCGTCGTCGCGCTGTAGCGGCCGGCGCCGACGAGTTGCTGGGGTGTGAACTGCATGGACGCGACGCTTGGCCAAATAACCACCGACCGCCGCCGGTTTCTCGAAACGCTGTTTCGACAAGGTTCTCGAAAATGCTGGATCCAGGATTTCGAGTTCGAAAATAGAAAAAAGGACGATCTTGTTCGATGCCGTGCCGCGTGGCACGGGCGAGCAGTGCCCCGTCGTGACGAGCTTGGCGAGGGCAAACCTCGAATCTTCGCCGACACGTTTGATTCTCGAAAGCACGTCGATCGGGTCAGCGGAGCGCAGCTGGCGACGGTATCTACATCGCCAGCCAAAATGCACCCGCCCATCCTGCTCCTGGCCTTGTTCCTTGAGCCAGGTGCGTGTGCGTGCGACCGACGCTTGTCCTATACTGCCGGCCATGGTTGCAGCCGCGCGCTCGTGTGAGGCTCTCGCCGTCTTAGTCCCGCATCGGCCTCTCATGCGCAGCCCGTCACTACCAATCGCGGGGTCCCACGTCGACGACTCGGCTCCGATGAGTCATTTGCCTCGTAATCCTACTCCCGCAACCACCAGCATCGGCTTGCCCGCAATACCGTACCGGTAGTAGCCGCCCTGTCCCGCCCGCGAGATTGCACTTTAGCGTCGAACGCCGGCATGTACCTATGACTGTGCCGCACTGCTTCATCATCCATTGACGGATCGTTGGTGTGGACGATCCTCCCAGTTTGCGGCTCCTTGGGCGTGCGATGGCCGCACACTCCGCTGCGAGCAAGGACGCCCGAACGCCAGCCGGCAGCCGCCGATCAGCGAGCGAGGCGGGGGGCCATGTTCAAGTTCGGTCGTGACGCAGCGCTGGCCACACGGCAGCGACCGTGACACACCACCGGCCACATCCTCTGCTTACCCAAGCCTGCCCTCCCAGCGTCGTCGTCGGCGTCACCTCGCCTCATGAATCTCCCGTTACTGTCGCACTGGCGCACCGTGATATCTGATGCCACCTGCGAAACTCGATGCCTTGTCACGGGATGACGCATAAATTTCGAAGGTTGGCGGCCGATGAACGCGCGCGGATTGGTCGTCGACGGATCTGGCGACGTCTGATTGGCTCGTTTCCTGGGCCGTGGCTTCACTGGTGAGAAGTTTCTGCTGCGCGCAATAAAAAACGATGCGTTGGACTTGGCTTTTGTATTGCAAGTTAAAAATGGGCGAAAAAGAACACTGTATTTCTTTTCCACCCACGGGTTGTGTGCGATATCCTCGTGACAGCAGTTTTGCATTTGCTCCTTGCCTTGAGGCGGCGCCGCAGCTTCGAACGCTCCGCCCTCCTCGCCCTCGTAGCCGACGCCAACGAAGCTTCGCACGTACCTAGCCCACGCACCGTTTGCACCTCTGTACAGCCATCGCATACATATCCACCAAAGCGATGAACTGGGCAGCGTCGACGACCTTGAAGCCAACGGGCCTCGCATCGAACAACTATGGCAGCATGGGCAACTTGCAACCGATCCCGGAAGAGGACGAGTCGAGCGGCATCCGGTCGCCGCTTCCGACCAAGTGGAAACCCATCGAGCGTGAGATCAAGCCGCAGTATTATGTCATGAAGAGCACCGCGCCGACCGCCAAGCTCAACCCGCGGGCCATCTTTATGGTGTTTTCGCTGCCCGCGATTTTGTTTCTCTTCTTCCTCTTCATCTTCATCTTGCGTGCCAATGCACCTCTGCCCGTCATGCTGTGGCGGGACTGCGCTCGTGGACAATGGCCCAAGTCGAATGCATGCGTCCCGACCAACACGCTCGCGGTCCGCGCGACGACGGTCGTTCAGAACCTCACGTGGTCCGAGAAGCTCACGCAGTGCCAGCTCCGCGACAACGCACTGCCGCGCCTCAACATCTCGAGCTTCCCGTACTGCCAAGAGTCGATGTTCAAGCAGCTCATGCAGTTGCACCCGACCGAGTTTGCGCCCATTGACATGAAGGCATCGTGCAAGCAGTTCCACCTCCGCACGTACACGCCGATCACGACGCTTCGGGGCTGCAAGAACGTCATCAAGAGCCTCGTCGAAGACGGTCTCCTCCTCTCGCTGTACCCGTCCGAGCTCGCTGTCTGCGCCAAGTACCCGTACACGGCGTACGAAGTCGCGGCCCTTGACGACATTCTCGTGCGCCTTCTTGCCGGCCGGATTCTCGCCGACGAGTCGCATGAAGTGCGAGCCGGTGGGATCATCCTCGGCGGCCCCGAAAGCTTCCACGCTGGCATCCCCAAGAAGTACGGCATCGACTCGTAGTTAGCTTCCGCATAATTTATCGCCACCGCAGCCGCCTTGCCGCGGTTCATTTTTGTCGCCTCCATTTCTTCTTGCACATCCTATGGCACTGCATCTTGGCGATTGAATCTTGCCAGGCGGGGCCGCAAGCTCCCTCGGTAGTCCGACGCCATTCCTCGCAGCGATTCGCATGATCTGCCCAAGGAATCCAAATCATGCCACACATAGTCCATGGCGAAGCGGTGTGACTGCAGCTTCTCCGTCTACTAGTACGCAGTAGTTGGGCACAGGTGCTTGTGGATTGGTCGTGGCATGGGTCATGGTCGTGGCGAGTGTGCAACGACCGACGCGCCGCTTCGGATTGGCTAAAAAGAGGAAAGTGGCCATCGCCGATTGGCCAAAGCATTTGCACCGAGTCTACCGACGACGACAACGAGACGATGATGACCCCGTACCAGGTGCTCGAGACGACGTGCAAGCTCCTCGACCGCGGGGGCCTCGACCGCCGGGCCAAGCTCGAGACCGCCGGCCGCCTCACCTACGTACGCTTGCTCTCCATGGACATGGCCTCATCTTCGCCATGCATGCACAGGAGATGAAGAAAGATCCGCTGCTGCTCGAGCAGTTCCCCGTCGAGCGCATCCAGTACTCCGCACGCGGCCTCTTCGCCGACAACGACACGTCCATCCGCACGGCGGCCCTGCGCGTGCTGCGCTACTCGATGATCAACAGCTCGTCGATCACCAACGCCCTCACGCTCGTACAGTCCATCGACATCCTCGTGTTCTCGTAGCGGTGCTCATGCGTGTGCTGCATTAGGGCGTCCAGCTCTTCGTGTCTCGATCGATGGAGCGCGATGCCAAGCTCGTGGGCGAGCGCATCCAGGCGCTCAAGGTCGCGCGCCGCGTCCTCGAGATTGACGGGACCCAAATGCCGTCGTGTCTCTGCCGCTCCATCGTCGCCATCGCCAACCACAAGGAAGACAACCTCCGGCGCGTCGCCCTCGAGTCGCTTCGGGAGCTCGCGATCGTCAACGTTCCAGTCGTCGTCCAGTGCAATGGCTTCAAGACGCTTGTCGACTCGATTCTGGACCCGACGTGCCAGGTATCGCCTCCACCTCCTTGCATTCATCATCATCGTCGTCGTCTAGGACTTGGCCGATGCACTGCTGCTGACGCTGCTGTACCTTGTCAACGAGCCCGCGAACCGCGACTACATTCACTCGTTCATCGACGCGCAGGTGCTCCTCGCGCCGTTCACCGACACGGACGCCCCGGCGGGCACGGAGCGTCGGCAGCGCTGGAGTGCCAGCCGCAACGCCATCGTCATGATGATGCGATCGTGGACCGTGTGTTTGGCTTCGTCTCCTTGCGTGTCGTCTCATCGAGGCCAGCGTAGGGTATCTTGCTTCTGACGTCCAACCCGCAAGGCCTCAAGTCGCTCATCCAGCTGCTCGTGCAGCCCGTCGGTGACGACGTGCAGAAAGCGGTGCTCGCGACCATCTGCGAGATCTTCTACAAGCCCACGTCGCTCGACAAGGTTGATACCTTGATACCTTGATCCCTCCGTTCACGCATCAATGCGTAGAGCGGAAACGAAGTCGTGACGCCGAACGAACCGATCCCGATCGAAGACAAGGCCGCGGCCTCGACCACAGGCTACAACAACCTGCTCGACAACTACATGACAATATTGCTGCTGTCTTTTCTCCACTGCGGCGTCATTGACGCGCTCATCACGCTCGGCACGTCGCTGAACCGGTCGCTCGCCGAGCCCGCGCTCGAGCTCCTCTCGGATTTCTTGCGCATTAGCGCACGCCTGCTACCCGACCAGCACTGCACCAACCTCTTGGCGTTGCCGCAGCTCGTGACAACGACCGCGCTCTCGAGCTCGATGCCGCCGACCGAAACCAAGCAGCGCGAACTCGCGATTCGGTCGGGCGAGATGCTCGCCGAGCTCGCCCTTGTCGTACGTCGATACATCCATCAGTCGACGACAAATATGGACTACGATGTACTAGGTCGGGGGCAACGCAAATGCCCAGCGCGCACTGGCGGCGTCGTCGGGCGCGTCGAACGCGCCAATCAACGGTGTCCATCTGGCGTCCGAGCTGCTGCGGGGCACGAACCGCCCGGTGCAAAACTTTTCGACTGCGTCGTTGCTGCGGGAGGCCACCGCGACGTCCCGCGAGGTGCTCGTGCACTCGCTCAAAGTGCAGATGGACAACCAGATGGACGACCATACCTTCCGGTAAACCGCGGGTAGCCTGCGCCATCAGATCTGATAGCGGGGTGTAGCGAGATGCTCATGACCAAGTGCCGCGTCCTGAACGGGAAAGACTGGTATCGCTGGAACTGGGACGTCATTTCCGAGCTGCTGGAAGGCCCGCTCACGAACCCGTCGCGGCTCTCGGAGGCGATGAAAACAAAGTTTTTCAAGCGCGTCTCGGGCTTTTTCCGGTGCGACAATAGCGACAAAGGTAGTCGACCGCTCCAAGTCGAAATCGATGATGACGACCTTTGGGGGTAGGGTACTTTGCGGGCCTGCCGTGGACACCCGACTATGTCCCGTACCTGCGCCCAGCCTGCCAGATGTACATGCTCTTGCTCAACCACCCGGAAGGCCTTTCGTTCCTCAAAACCGACCGCCGGTACATCCAACACCTTGTTTGTCATGCTTATGTCGCTTTTTAGGGGTCAACTCCTCACGGAGATTGCCAGTGCGTTGGAGCTCGAGGCGCGCCCGGAAGCTGCGATTGTCGAGTCGCACCTCGGGGACCTGCAAGCCCGCATGTTTAGGTACGCCGTCTCTTACACAGATAAGGGCATCGAGAATGTTGTAGCCCGGAATACTGCTCCCGTCGCATGCTGCGCGAGTACTTTACGCTGCTGGGCCTCATGAGCTCGTCCACTGAAGGCAATGATCTCCTCGTCGATGGAGTCGTTGTTCTCATTTGGGTGTAGGCCTCAAAATGATGGAAAAGTCGGGGCTTTTTGCGCGCTTGACCAAGATGGGCCAAGCAGCCAAGGGTGGCAACAGCCACATGCTGCCCAACTTTGGTGAACTCACAAAGATGCAGCGCGCCGAGAAGGAAAAGACCCAAGGTACGAGATCTCGGTTGCGCTTCGACACGTTATTATTCTTGGAGGCCACGATTTCCTCTGTCGCCTCATACTCGCCAATCTCGACTACACGGTCGAGGGGAGCTCACGCCAGCTGCTCCAGGATTGGATGACAACCGGGTCCGAGTCGCTTCGGCTGTACGCAACGTGCCTCCTCCGCGCCCTTTTGCGCTCCGAGGTTCTCTCCTTGTCTGGAATACCCACTGCTAAACTTTGCGGCAGGTCGGGGACTTTGCCAAGTGGGGTATTGACAGCCTCGTGGCGCAACTGCACCAAGAGCCGAGCGTCGCGCGTGCGGCGCTAAGCGTCCTCGAAGAAGCCGCCGAGACGCCCGAGTACTTGCTCGCAATCATCCAGAAGAAGCCGTTGCAGCTGGTGCACATGCAGGCCGAGAGTCTCCTGCTCAAGTGCCTCTCGCTGCCCGAAGGCCTCGCTTTTCTGCGTGAAGTCACAAACTGGATTCCGGCGAGCTTGCTCAGCTGGCGCCAGCACAAGCAGTGGGCGTACGTGCACGTGGTCGAGACGCAGCTCACGCGCGGGCTCTTCCGCGACAAGCAGCCGCAGACCTCGTCGATGGGCAACAAGTACCAAAAGCCCAAGCCGATTGTGATCCCCGTGACGGTGCCAAGCCGGCGCAGCAGCAACTTTAAGCAAGGCGTGCACCGCGGCCAGTGGGGGCTCGAGTGGCTCTTCCGCATGCCGTGGAACATGGAGGTCAAGATCGTCGGGCCGCCGGGCAGCGGGCCGCCCGCGCACCTCACGATCGACACGTACGTCGACGCGAGCGAGGTAGGACCTCTTTGGTATGCATCACGAACACTGCAACTGCGTTTCACTAGCCGGAAGACTCGCTGGACGGCCACCGAATGAACACGATCCGCATCAAGGGCGTGGTCGTCGATGCGCGCAATTCGCCCAAGCCGATGACGGTCAACAGCCAGCAGACGCTCCAGGCGTGCCTCTTTCTGGGTGCGCAGCCCGTGGACCGGAAGGGCTACACCAAGCCAGCGCCGCAAAGCAACGGCGGCTTTCTCATGGCGCCGGCAAGTGAGAAGGACCCCAAGTCGGACCCGACGGCTCGGACGCGCGCCGTACGTGACCCAAACGACTCTAGAATCTCACGGCATTGCCTAGGTGAGCACGAGCACGGACCGGCTCTCGGAACACACGTCGCTGGCCGACGCGTACGAGCCGACGGACGAGCACAAGGACTGGAGCTCGTGCGGCCCCGAGCAGCGCTCAACGCAAACGCTTCTTGCCAATGCGGTGGCAGTCACCGAGAACGAGCGCGTAGCGACGTTGTGTCCGCCGGGCGAGCGCGCGCTCTGGACGTTTGACCTCGAGACCGACCACTCGCAGGCCAACCTCAAGCGCGTGCAGCTCAAGAGCGTCGAGTTTACTATTCAGCTGTTGCCGACCAAGGCGTCAACGGTCCCGCTGCCGCCGCATCTCTATGGCGAACTCGCCAAGACAAAGGATGGTATCGTGCTGCTGCAACAATCAGGCTACGTGCCCGAGCTCGTTGCAGCTGTCAAGGACGCGGCCACGGCACCGCTCGAACGCCGCGCGGCGCTCTGGGCAGTCGGTCACATTGCGGCCACCACCCGCGGGTACGATCGATCGTATATGGTTGCTTGTTCCTGTTTGACATGGCATGGGACGTAGGCTCGAGCTGCTCTTGGGCGTCGCGGAAGACCTCTTGGATGTCATTGTGGGCATGGCGACGTCGGCGACGATGCTCAGCCTCCGAGGCACGTGCTTTTTTGTGCTTGGGATCATTGCGCGGTCGGCGCCCGGGAAGCGCGCGCTCACCAAGTACGGGTGGGACACGCCGCGCGATGCGCGGTCGATGATTGCAGTGCCGTCCAAGCCCGAGACGCTCTTTGCGTGGCCGGCGGGGACGCCGCCGACACCGGCGAGCATGGTCGACCTAAAGGCGTCGTTCGAGGCGCCGTCGTACAAGGCAGCGCCCCGCGGCAAGGAAATTCTGCGTCTGGTCGGCGACTTGAGCTCGCACATTACGCAAAAGGAGGCGGGCGCGGCGCTCAACCGCATGAAGAACATGTACCCGGACCTGTTTGAGGACACGGCGCTGGCGCTCTCTGCGCACACGCTCTTGTCGCGGTACCACTACCGTCTCACGGCGCGCCAGTTTGTGTTCAACCTCTTTGAGAAGGCCGACTTGAGCAACAGCGCGTTGGACTTGCACTTGCACAAGCCGACGCCGGTTGCGATGCGCCGGCGGTCGTCCGTGTCGGCGCCGTCGCTCTCGTCGACGATCCAGTCGCTCCAGCACACGCACGCCAAGGAGACGATCGTCGCAACGTCCCGCCCGATGCTCGACCAAGAGAGTACGATCTTTGTCGGCGCCCAGCAGGCCATGGTCTAAGCCACGTCTGCGTATGTTTCTCGAAAGATGGGTCGTTGATTACTACTATGTACTGGCTGGGGTCGTAGCCACCCAGTACGACCGCTCTCAAGGGTGCTCGAGGGTACTGGCTAAGATAGCGGTGGCAGCTAGCGGTAGCGCTACGGTGGAAGGTACAGGGAAGGGTGGAACTGGTCGCGACAAGACGATGAGGAATTGGCACAACCCGTGTCAGTGTGGTACTGTCTCCTGTGATTGGCCAAATCTTTGATACGCATCGTGGATTCTGCAGCCAGGAATCACGAAACCGCTACCTCAACCCTCGCCACAGGAAAACAAACTGAGTCTTTAGGGTTGTGCGTCCCATCACATGTGATGCTGATGGTAGCCATATGCATGGGGTTGTGATTAGTGTAGCATATTGCGCAAAAGTCGCCTTGCAGTCTTGTCGTCGGAGCTGAGCGGGACTACACTCTGGAGCCGACTATGAGTTGTCGTTCCAACAACACATCGATGGCCACGGATCGTTATATTAGCGAGTGGCTCTCATCTATTCCTTGAAGTAGGATGCTGCAGCTGTCCACAGTACGGTCCTCCGCGATCTGCTCAAGAGACTCTCCAATGACGACGCAAAAGGCTATATAGCGTTTTGTGGAAGAATAAATACTAGATTTGAAGTATCGACTATTTACGGCGCCTTGGTCACGGCTTCGGCGTGCTTGATGTGGCCGGGGCACAGACCGTGGAGGCGAGAGAGCCGCATGCAGCCGGTGACGGAGCACGCTTTGTTCTTCCGGTGCACGTCGCAGACGCCGCCGCCACGATCCGTGCGATGGCAGCCATCGACGACGCAATAGCGGAACCCACCGTGCTTGGCACAAAAGCTTCCTCGCTGGACGCCCTTGTCGCAGCCGCGTTGGTTGCAGCGCTTGCCGCCACCGTGGGCGCGGCAGAAGCCACCGCCCTGCGAGCTCTTTTCGCAGCCCGAGAAACCGCAGCGCACGCCGCCACCATGGGCTTTGCACAAGCCGCCCGTTTGCACGGCCTTGAAACAGTCGGCGACCGAGCAGCGCCGGCCGCCGCCGTGCGTGATGCAGAGCCCGCCGCTCTGCGGTCCCCGGGAGCAGCCGGCGTGGCCGCAGCGCTTGACGTTGCCGTGGTCGCGGCAAAACCCGCGCGGCGAGAGAATGGACGCGGCGCAGCCCTCGACGAGGCAGATGTACGGCGTCTCGACCGTGAGGAGGACGGGCGACTCAAAGAGGCGTGGTGATGTGGGCAGCGGGAGGTTCGTCAAGGTAAACACTTCGTCAAAGAACGAGGCTTCCAACTGCGCGCTGCTGAACGTGTCGTCAATCTCGTCGGCCATCAGCGTGGCGTACAGGAAGCTGGCTTCGTCTTGCGTAAACGTGGTGGTCAAGGCCATGCTGCGATCGCGACGAAATGTGAAAATGAAGAGAGCTCGCAATGTCGTGGTGGCTACTCGGGTTTGGTCCCACGCTCTCGAGTAGCCAGCCATCGCGTGCTCCAGTTGTGCTACTTCGGGTGGCTTTATTCAGGTTCCCCACTGGCGGATGCTGGCAGCTCAATTTTCAATTTAATCGCGGGATCTCTGGCCAATCCAGGCAAAAAACGGAGAATATTTTAAAAAGTTTGATATTCCAACCGGATCGGCTGGTGGCAGGTTGTGCGACCGCACTACGAAATGTACTTGGCTCTTGTATATGGCGGTAGCGAGTCTCCGCCCACGGCCTTGATGTAAACCGTCGAGGCCGCCGCCACGCTTCAAGCGTCGATTGACAACATTTACCTTGGTGTGATGGCGCTGCCACGTTATGCAGTCGTCGGCGCAAAGACGATGACGACAAGACGAAGCGCCAAACAGAACTATCATTTCCGAGCTCGCAGCTGGTGGGGCTGCTTGAATCTGCGCGCCTTATCCGGTTGCCTCGACAAGACGCCCGCCAGAATGCTACTCGGGCGTTTGATTGGTCAGCTATACGAGCTGTGGCCACTCAGACGGCAAGGCGCCCGCTATGCAACTAATACTGCGCAAGGGTCAATAAACCTTGTACTGCGAGTGCACTAGTGGGTGGCACCGTGTAGTCGAGAACGTAGACTGCACAGCGGATTCAATCGCCATGTCGATGACGAACCATGGAAACGATTGGTCGTCAAAGCAGAGAAGGCGACGGTTGTCGACTTTCGTATTAGGAGCTTCGATACAGCGACCGGCACGACTTAATACTGTAGCTGCTCTGTTCCATATTAGTAGGCCGGTTTCTACTTTCAGAATCTGTCGATCGTACTAATATGTAGCAGCTACTCTTTGCTAATTGCTAGATGCTATATTTACGACTGCAATGGGCCGAGGCCGCGTTTGAAGTTGCAAGGTACTTGACATCAAAAGTTCGCTGGATGGATTTTGGAGGTAGCATTGGTACATACTTTGGGTGAGTGCGCGATAGCGGCATATGCATGGGCGACAGGCGACCGATCCAGCACAGTGGCAACTCTTGTGTTGTCATTGGCTGCTTTCTGGTAAACGAGGGGCTTCCACCCATGCTTCCGTTGCTCAGCAAGCTCGGGTTGCCCTCGTGGTCATTTGCTCATTTTTTAGTACACGCCTAGATCCAAGGCTGGTCTCAAGACAACCCGCTATGCAGCTAGTGCAATTACACTGCGTGCAGCACAGGGCCTTCGCAACGAGCTGCCTCCTTTCGTTCGCAGCTTCGAGTGTGTTGAAGTAGCCCATGGCGCAGCCGTCGTGGCCTGATCCAGCTCGGCTCAGCTGCCATCAAAAGTGCCGAGTCCTCTCATTCTGTAGTAGAGCAGCAGAGCTACATTGTACTAGTATGTGGACTTTACCATGTGTTCTAGCGATGGAGACTCATATCCCGGTACGCGACTCGTGCTCCAAGTTGTGTGATGACTTCTGGTATGTTTTAATGAAGAAAATGTCATTTTGGTCAGACATAGTACACATGCTGATGCATCTGGCAACCGCACGAGTAACGCTTCTAGTAACGCTACCAGACAAACAAACTTGAGGCCATTGCTAACGGCCAATTTGAAGCCTGAAATGCCCATTGCCGCTCAACCTTGGAGCAAAGGCTTAAATGAAATACCGGCACTCTGTCGTGAAGGTGCACAGTGCACCATGTTTGCTAGCCTTTTTGTAGCAATGCGTGCGAAGACCCTGCAAAGTACCATATGGTACATCATATCAGCACAAAGTGATTGACCAGCACCGCGAATTTCTGGCCCTAATCGTGCAGAGAACTCTGCGGCTCGTATGCCTCAATCTTTCAACTGGACACCCTCTCAATCCTTCTGTTTCCAGATCAGTTGCAATGACCAGATTTGTCGCTACACAACTACACGCACCGTTGTAGTCCAAAATCAATGCTCACGTCACAGGTGGTCAACAGGGCGGGTTTGGTCTTCTCCACCAGGTATCAAAATAACGTAAGCAGACAACCTTTGTGTCATCGTTTCGCTGATTTAGTTTGTGGTCACGGTGCTCTACCGTGCAGCTTGATCGACAGTTTGCGCACAAGCTCTTTTTGCCTTCTCGATCTATGAGCGTACGTGTATTAATACAATAAGAGTGCGGCAAAGTAAATGACGATAAAATAAGTGCTGATAGGTTAAATCGCATACTCTGCGCTGTGCTCGGACACGCTAATTGGCGATGTCGCTGTGGAATACGATGTCGGTGGACAGCCCATGGCGCGCGGCTCGACGCCGTCGCGCGTCGCCACGTACCGCTTCGCATGGGCGACGCAGAGGCCTTGCTTGCGCGCCATGCGCATGCAGCCAGAGAACGCGCACGCCATGTTCTTCCGGTGCACGTCGCAAAAGCCACCACCGCGGTCGGTCCGGTGGCAGCCGTCCACTTTGCAGTACTGAAATCCACCGTGCTTGGCGCAGTAGCTGCCTCGCTGGACGCCCTTGTCGCAGCTGGCTGCAGCGCAGCGCTTGCCGCCACCGTGTTTTCGGCAATAGCCGCCGCCTTGCGAACTCTTGTCGCAGCCGTCAGCGCCGCAGCGGATGCCGCCGCCGTGGGACTTGCAGAGACCGGCGGTCTGAACGGCCTTGAGACAACCATCAACTGAGCAGCGACGGCCACCCCCGTGGGTGATGCAAAAGCCCCCCCGTTGGGGGCCGCGGGAGCAACCGGGGTGACCGCACTTTTTGACAGCTCCGTGGTCGCGGCAGTGGCCCCGGCGCCACGGAATGCGCGCGTGGCAGCCATTCGTGAGGCACACGGAGGGCATGTCGTTGGTCATCTCAAACTGCGGCGACGCCGGGACCAAACATGTTGGCGCTGAAAAGATCATGGGCGGGTACTCGATGCAAATGGGGGACGGCGGTGCATAGAACGTCGGTGGTTGGTACGCGTAGAGCATCATCGAGGCGTCCTTGGATGGGAGTTGCATGATGTGGTCAGGTGACCCGCAGTACATCGGAAACGATGGCGAGGACGCAAACTCGACACAGCTAAAAGCGTAGTGTGCGTCGTCGATGTACGACATGTTGATTTGATCAATGGACATCCAGCGACAGAGCGCTCAGACTTTGAATCCATTAAAAGAGTCGGTTGGCGCGCTCGAGAGAAATCACGAATCGCACCCATCGCCCCAGCTGGCGCGCCACGTCATGGTCGGTTAAGTGCGATTTAGTGGATCTTTGGCTTCGTAGCCGTGTTTATGTCCACGGGTGGAACCAGCTGGCAGGGTTGTGGATAACTCGGCACTCCGCTTGTTCTCCATGTGCTTGGATTGGGAACGCGCCAGCATTAGAAAGCACAAGCTGCTCGACGCCAATCGTTTTTGTCAGAAATGGCCAACAATCGATGTCCCCCTTGCGACGTCCTTTCAAAGCGACAAGTAGAGAAAAGGCTTGGCAAAGGTGCAAAACTTCGTTGGCTTGCCTTTGTCGTTTGGTGGCGACTGCGTACACGCTGCAGTCTGTCATACGGTTAGTAATAGCCTGAGTTGAGGCTCAGCTGTGGCGCATGCTGATTTTTGAGCAATGATGCGCCACGTCCCACTTCACGGGATTCTATGTTGAGTAGATCTCACCGAGTAGATCTGCCCGCTAAGTCCTATTTGTCCCGAGCCTTGGCTGAGGCGCTCGACCCAGTGTCCCGGAACAGCGGTTACTCCAGCTAATACGGTCGCAGTATACTGTCCACTTCAAGCTTGAAATTGCGATTTCAAAACGCGTTATGTGCTGGACAGAGACGATGAGTAACCGAGGCTACCATAACGTTAGCGTACACATGCGCCTGCCAGCCTGTGCCTGCCCTGTCCTTGGCTGCTTGCACCCAAAATGGAACAAACGGTCACAAGATATATACGAGGAGACACCAAGCCAGTGCCACCGTGTACATGTATGAGGAGACCGAAAATGAAGTTGAGTTGTTGCCTGACCTCATGGCCGAACTACTACCGGTAGGCTATTCTATGATACCAGTCGATCAGTCAGTCGGTATCAACACTCAAGTAAACTCCATGAGCAAGCTTAGTCGTTCTGTCGGCCCACGATGCGAATGTAGTGCCTTCGTATGTTGCGCTTTCCCTGACGATGCCCCATTGCTCACATCGCGTTATGTTGTAGTTGTGCCATCATGCACGGACTCGAATACATCTGGATGCTGAAATGCAACAGGGCGCCAGAATTCATTTCGGTACGACACCACGAGCCCGTTCCACGAGCCAAAATGTTATTTTCAGGGCGTCAAAACATTAGTAAACCTCTTGAGCAATGGCGGCGTGTCACAGGTCTCTTCAACTCCGACAAGGTCTCAGCCTGTCCAACAGCTGTATCCACCAGCTGTCCTGGTGTCTCTTTCATCGTCATCTGGCGGGCACAATCCGATGATAAGAACGATCAGAACAAAGAGCCCTTCATTCATGCACTTGCCATCGCCCGACCAAATGGCTCTTCTCTTTACACAAGCCGAAGTCGACTTCATCTATCATGCCTTCTGCGGCCAACCCGAATTCAATGCTGTGTCGTCGCCCATCAAGCACAAGCAACTGACGTTGCCACCCCACTCGCCTAATGGCGTTGACGACTGCCTCGACACTCTTCTTTGCTGCGACCTGCCTTTGGATAATTGCTCGACTCATGAAATACCTCACATCTGCCTCGCACCCGACTGCCGCGAGCGCACCCAAGCAACGCGCGGCTACTGCCGCCAGCACGGTGCCGCCAAACGCTGTGAGTTTGCGGGCTGTCCCCGCGGCCCCCAGCGAGGTGGCTTTTGTATCACCCACGGCGGCGGCCGTCGCTGCTCAGTCGATGGCTGCACCAAAGCCGTTCAGACCGCCGGTCTCTGCAAATCGCACGGTGGCGGCATCCGCTGCGGTGTCGACGGCTGTGAAAAAAGCTCACAAGGCGGCGGCTTTTGTCGTAAACACGGTGGCGGCAAGCGCTGTCAAGCCATCGACTGTGGCAAGAGCGTGCAGCGTGGCTGCTTTTGCGTCCAACACGGCGGTGCTCACTACTGCAAAGTCGTGGGCTGTCACCGCACGGACCGTGGTGGCGGCTACTGCGACGTCCATCGGCACAACAACGAATGTACCGTCGAAGGCTGCATGCGCATGGCGCGTCACCAAGGGCTTTGTGCTGGACACAAGCGGCGGTACATTCACGAGATGGGCGCAGGATGTCTTCATAACGATGCTCGGGCATAAGCTAAGCACTCGACAAGTATTTATTGCACACCGATTTGTGCAAATGGCTCGACTCTACCGGTACTAGTATGTGCATTTTTTTGTTAACCGAGGTGCTGGTCGCAGTCACGGGCTCAGTACCGCCGGTTGTGGCGCAGTATTGTCGTCTACGCAATGCCATTATCGAACATGTTTTCTGTTTGCCAAATTTTAGCGCAAGGGATTGTTCCTACGGTGTGTGAATCTGACGTTTGAATTTGAACCGAATTTTAAAAAGCACGGGATCAACCTTTGCTCAATGGCATTAGTCGACCCTTGCATCAACGTCGCCGCGATGGAGCGCCTTGTGGCTGGCAATTCCCACGGTCGGCTCGACGTTAGTGGAAGCCTGGATCCCACCGCTTTGTCGTGTTGATGCATTTAACGCATAAAAAGCATAGCTCACGAGAGCCTCTCGCTGGTGTTGTCTATCAATGCAAAACTGTGAGCGACAATCCAGTTCTTTGATGTAGTCATAGCCCATGTGCCCATGTCTATGCAAAGGCGGTTCGGACCTTGGGTGTCGATGGAGCATTTCGCCGGCCATTGAGAGAGCTCACCTGGTCGGGGTCGCATCGCTGGATCGGCGATTGGTTTAGAGCGTGCGCCAAGCTTTGCATCGTTCACGGCGGCGTTTACTTTTGCCCCGTGCATGTCTGCTGCAGCGCAAACTGGGGCGGTGGTTGCTGCGACGTCCACCAGGGCCAATAAGAAAGAAGAAGAATCACCATTGGACGTCCACAAGATGAGCATGACGATGAACTATCGAACATCCAATCAATGACACGAGGCGAGCACCAATATGAACACCTTCAAGTAAAGTGTAGAACTAAACCGGCTTCCCTTCAACACTGAGCGTGGTGCGCAAAGGCAGACTCTATGTGTTTGCCCACGCTGCCCGGTACGGCGCCGAGCCACCGCAGCAAAAAAAACGAATTGGCGCAGTGCAAGTTTACATCGTACTGCAGTGTGTCAGAGCTCACCTTGTTGGCGTCTCCTAAAAATCGCCGAATCTTCCAGTGCATCCATATCGCGATGGGATATGGGCCTCCCATTGCGTCTTTGAAACGTTTTTTTCTTTGATTTAAATCGCCTTTAGCCCGATCGATTCAGTCCAAAGGACATTGGCCTCGTATTGCAGGCCTCGTAGCTCTGCGGTCAAATCATTTGAAATCCTTGAAGAGCGAAATGCACTAGTCGTATGGCGTCGGCTTTCTTTGTAGCCCGACCCCTTTGTCCTGGGATTACGAGGCTATGAGTAGGTACCATCGCACTGCGACGTAGCACAATGTATTGCATTTCACCATGTGCTCGAGCGCCAGATCGTCCGGTCGATCTAGACGCTCGGTTGTTGCATCCAAGGATAGGACATGTGCCCAATCCTGAAACGCCCAGGACATATCAATGCAGACAAACAACATTACTAACCTTACAACAACCCACGGTATTAGCGGAGGTACTGCGTCTCTGAGTACGCATGCTCGTCGCCGTATCGAAAAGGGTGCGCCTGTCGCTCGGTTTTAAATATTCATCGGCTGGCGCCAAGCCCAGTGCGCCAGCACACGGCTACACCCAGGGCTACACCTTGACGCTTGTCCACGATTGAGACGCGACTGGTCATTCGGTTGGCGATTCTTGTCCACCATGCCTTCGACAAAATACCTCATTCAGCAATTGACACGCGCCAGAGAACCTCATTTGAGCCGATCTAATGATGCACTGCGGTGTTATGTTCACGCAAGATGAGGCCGACTTCATCGCCCGCGCCTTCTG